CAAAAGAACATGCTGAGTTAAAAAAAAAAACCTGAATACCATAATGCAAAAACTAATACAAGAAAAAAGACATCCAGAACATTCCTAGAATGAAAACCAGACCTGAAAAGATCATCTGCCTCTCACCCACCCCAAACAAGAAAAATACCAAGAAAAGGAAACAAACATAGCAACTAAGGATGACAACAACAATGAGAGAACAAAAGAGCATCGAAAGGGTTCTTTCCAAGTATACAGGAGGAGATGAGGCTGAAAGCAGCAGTCAAATAGAATGGATGGTAGAGAAAAGAAGCATGACGTGGCAGAGAAACAGCCTGTCTTGGAGCTGGAAAAACCTCGGTTCAAGGCCTCTTCTGACATCTAAAGGCTCTGAGACTCTCAACAATCACTTAAATTCCCAGTGGCCCAGACAACCTTCAAAATTAAGTTTTAGAATAGTGGCTGATCTGCATTTGATAAAGGGAAGTTTCCTTCCAGGGTGTTTATTCCCTGCACCAATAAAATCACTGTTCCAGATCAGAAAGAAAAAGAGAAGTATACATTATCATCAATAATAACAATAACATTAATAAGCTGCTGTGTACTCTTAGGAACAACTTCCCACTCATGTTAGTAAGCATTTATCTGTTGGGAATTACAATATTAAGCTTGAATAGTTTGAAACTGCACCAAGACTTTTGAAGGACCTAGTAGTCACTTGCACGGCAGAGAGACAGAGCACTGGACCTGAGTGTCAGCAAGACTTGAATGCAAATCCAACCTTAGTCCCTTAGTAGCTATATATCATTTTCTACCAGGCACACTTCTTTGGACTGGACTTCATCATGGCCTCAGGAAAGCTCATCCTCCTCTGAGATAGAATCAGCTTTGGTACTCACACCTCACCAGTACTCTCTGCACCTCTGATGGAGGACAGGACAGCCAGCACAGAACTCCTCTTAAAGCCTCCATTTAAAGACAGCTCTCAGGCTAGCCATCACCTCCTTTCCCACAAGCTGCTCTCCTTTGGTCTGGTCTCCATCAGGCTCCCACACTGGGTACCTCCTCTCCATTTTTCAGCTCCCTAGTGTGTTGTCTTCCTCATTAGACTGTAAGCTCCAAGAGAGCAGGGACCTTTTTTCATACCTGTATCTCTAGTGCTTTCCATAGTGCCTGGCACACAGCAGGTGCTTAATAAATGATTACTGACTGAATGCCTGACCCTGGCCAAGTCACTTGGCCTGCTTTTCTCAGTTTCCTCAAGTGTAAAATGGGAATAAGAGCGCCTATCTCCCACAGCTGTTGTGAGGATCAAATGAGATAATATATGTAAAGCATTCTGCAAACCTCAAAGTGCTATAAATGTTAGCTAGTAGTAGTAGTAGTAATCACTCTTTTTAATGAGGGTAGGAACTGTTTTATCTATCTATGTATATCCATAGAACCAACCAGTGAAATAAAGGTGAAATCTTCTGTAGGCTTCATTAGCCTACTTATAGGAGTATGGACAAGCTAGTCACCCCAGACTAGTCATTCACAGCTAGAATATCATAAGGTTAGTGGAGGCCAGTCCAGTTGAAATTTGTAGTTAGCACAGAAGGAAGGGTTCTGTTTGAGGAAACATAAGGCACTGTTATATACACATTCCGTGGCAGCACAAGGCAAGGTTCTATTTTCCTGTTTAAATGTAGTTTAGAGACAAAGGTATTGTTCCAGTTACATTCCACTGTGCATGGCAAATGTCATGACACACTGACACCTTCAAAAAACGAAAAGCATTCCCCAGAAAAAGGGAAATTGATCCAGAAAAGAATAAATTACTCAAACTTCTGGGAAAGCTGTAAGATGAAAGAAAAGGAGCCAAGAACTACAGGCTGAGAAGAGAATTAGAAAGTGACAAATAATTAAGGAAGCTATTTGTCAGAATGGACAATAAACAGTGATGAAAAAGCATATAAACTGTGGGGTTGAATGCATACTTCACATATATTACAGAAGCAGTAAGAAATGAAATGACAAATTTAAGTACACCACACAGTAACATTTCATTATATTAACCTGGGGTGGATTGTATGTAATTACTAGGATAAGTAGTATGCTTTCACCCAGTAACAGTGAAATATTTCTCAAGTATCAAAATTATTACTCTCTTCAATAAAAAAGTTCCTTTCTCTAAAGCAACCCTCCCTCACAAGTGTTAGAGTCAGATCACACTACAGTATTTAAAATCAATTTAGAAAAGCTATAATACATAACTGCCAAATATAACCTGGGGAAAAACCACTGTAGCAACCTTTCCATTTCCATGGAAACATCATCTAAAATCAAGATGGGAAATCTAGGAAAATGCTAAACTTGTAAAAGCTCATATGAAACAACGTATACTACATGGTCTACAAAACTGTTACACGTTTCTTGTTAAAGATACAGGTAGATTCCTCTCAAAGGAAACCAACGATGTGGAATTATAGAAATGGCTATATTTCAGCATATTCCTTATGGAATAAGGAAATGAAAGGAAACCAAACACACACACACACACACACACACACACACACACACACACACACACACACTCTCTCTCTCTCTCTCTCTCTCTCTCTCTCTCTCTCTCTCTCTCTCTCTCTCTCTCTCATAAATCATATTAGTTACAGAGCATTTATACAGTGCTGTAAGGCTGGCTAGGTGCTTTACAAATATCATTTCATTTGATCCTCACAACGACAACCCTGATGTAGGTGCTACTGTTATTCCCATTTTTATAGAAGAGGAAACTGAGGCAAACAGAAGTTAAATTACTTTTCCAGGGTCACGCAGCTAGTTAGTATATGAAGCGGATTTAAACTCAGGTCTTTCTGACTCTTAACTACTGTACCACCTAGATGATTCTTCAAGTGGTACTTTTTTTAACACTAAAATAATTATGAATATTAATAAATTATCCACTCATGCTGCAGAACCAAAAAGTGTAAGGAATCCATGGGAACGTGAAAATGGTTATAATATGGCAAATTTGAAACTGGAAGATCCGAATTCAAATCCCGGTTCTGCAGTTCACTTGGCTATATGACACTGGACAAATTATTTCACCTCTCTAGGTTTCAGTAACATCATCTCCAAAATGAGGAAGTTATGCTAGATGAAATCTAACACCCTTTTCTAGCTGTACATGTATGACCCTCTGATCTAAAATTCAGGAAATCTTCACTACTTTCTTAAGGTGATGATACAAAGCATACCACTGAGAATGTAAGAAAAGCAATTCCAGACCCTGCATCTTATTTTTCAATGAAGCATTTGTATTTTGTGACATTCTAATTTGTGACACAGGAACCTCATTTTCAAGATATTTTCAGGTTCTATTTTGTGGGTCTGCCTTACTGGGAAAACCAGCTTATAATAAAGCCTTTTTAGTATGTCAGTAACTAAAATCACTCACACAGTATTTAAGACAAGCCTTCCTTATACTCAATGCTGGCCCATGATAAATGGTAATATTGTAAGGCTTAGGTGTGTTACGATGTTATCAGAAAAAAAAATTTCCTTTAGTATTTTCTTTTTTAAAAGTTGTCCTACATTTTTTTTGTGTTGATTCTATATCTTCAGACAGGTGAGGGTTGATGGCACCTTACAATAGGATGATGGTTATGTTTGTCAAGAGAAGGAGATAGATGCAAGAGGTGTTTTGGAGGTAGAAAGGTCAGGATTTGGCCTTTATTTGGATATGTGGAGTGAGGAGTCAAGTATAATGCCACGGCTGTGCATCTTGGTGACTGGAATGAAAGTAGTACCCTTAAGCAAAACTGGTAAGTTTTGGAATGAAGTGTATTTGGGGAGAAAGATGGCTTCTGCTTTGGACACATTGATTCTGAGATGCCTGTAAGGCAGTATGAAATGTCCAAAAGGCAGTTGGAGATGTGTGACAGAAGCTAAGAAGAGATACTAGGGCTGGATACAGAAACCTGGGAGTCATTCTGCATAGAGATGATAATTAAGTCAGTTTTGAATTGTGATATTTTAATGTCCTCTGAAAGTGAACACCACATAGCAAATGAAGAATAAGTCCCAGGTGATAAATTATTATGTAAATATGAACTTGAATTATAAATCAACTATGCAACAGGGAACCGGTAGAATCTTTTTAAGTGAGATAATACGTCAGAGAGATGTTCTTAAGCAAAGTTAAATTTAAAGTTACCATGGTTCAAACTGTTGATTCAATAAAATAATTCTATTTTCCCATAATCTTCATATACCATGAAATTTAAGTTAGGTCACAACCCAGCCTTTTAACCACAACAGAAGTCTTAAAATTAAAAAAAAAATTAACCTCGCATTCATGTTTTTCTCATCTTCCTATGCTAGTTTAGATATATGAGCACCTATACTTTGTCAATGGCAATTAAATTTACACATTAACAATAAAGAGAAAAATTAAGTTATAGCTACCAGTGTCATAGCTGGTATTTCTATATGACTCTATGGAACCAAAGCATTATCACACATATAAGCTCACAGGATCCTTATAAATATTATCATCATCAGTATTTTTCCTTTTAGCAGACTTTTTCCCTCATTTACAGATGAGGAAACTGAGACCCAGAGAGGTGAAATGACTTTGAAGTTTCTGTCACACCTTTATCATTGTCTAGTTGTGTCAATTAGACACAACTAGTTGTCCACTATTTGACACAGCTAGAAAATGGTGGAGAATGAGACAAAAACTGGTTCCTCTAACTCCAAGTCATAAGTGTTCTTCCTGCTAGCTCATGCTAGGAGGAAATAAACTACCCAAGACAAGTCCTTTTACCTCTTTGGACCTTAGTTCCCTCATGTGTAAAATGAAAATGCTGTAGTATATGAGCATTAAGGCACTCTGCAGCTCTATGATTCATGATGAAACAATTTTTACAGGAACCAAAACATTTAAGAAAAATATTTCAGTTTAAATACTTAAATGAAAAGAAAATTTAATGTGATTCATTTTCAGGAATATATTAAAATGGAACCAATAATTTTACCTTGTGAAAATACCATCCACAATCCCAATTGTAGCTTCTTCTGCAGGAACATAGGAACCAATTTGTGCCATGATAGTAATCAACGCAACTTGTTTTATGTAGGAGCTCTTTCCACCCATGTTTGGTCCAGTAATTATCATCACTCTCTCAGAGTCCCCCTAGAAAATGTAATAGCAATTTAATATATCATTCCAGATGCATTCTTATTTAACAGGTACAATTTATTCCATAAATTGAATTCATTAGCTAAAAGGTTCTTCTCTCCACTCTAAAATATGTCCCCAATCATGTTATAAGGGGAACAGACAATGGTCTGACCTAGAGCTATCACAGGCTGCAGTAGGCTCCCACTCATCTCCCTTGAAGAATCACGTGAAACTTCAGAACAGCCACAGTGTCGATCCTTTGCCTGCTGCTATGTTGGGGAAGCTATCCCTCTCCTATCCTGGCAGAGTGGTCCTGCACTGACTATAAGAACTATCACAAAGCAGCTTTGGGGGCTGGTTTTTAAAGGATCTGGTTCTTCATACAGAGGAGACTGAAGAATTGGGCTTTGGAAGAATAAATAGCTAGTGAAGCCCCTATGCCTCCTAACAGCAAGGCTACTCTGTCCCACTATGTTATAAGTCTGTATATTTCTTTCTGGGTCAGAATCTTAACTTTTGGTCCTGGGAAGAGAATTCTGGTATGTGGTATCCTTGGGAAAAAGGAACCCCTTTTGCAGATCGTTGGTTCTATCTGTGTGGGTATGGCAGGATCTAGAGGCATATCCTGAACTGATCAATTTATAAAGATTTGGTAACTTTGAATAAGAGCTTTATTTTATTTTACTTTTAATTTTTTTAAATTAACAAAGCATTTATCTTTTATACCTCTTACCTTTCCTTTACCCCCAAAGAAAAACAAAGCCTTTGTAACAAAAGTATATAGCTGAGCAAGGCAAATTCTCACATTGGCTACATCCAACATATATTGTCACATTCTGCACTGAGCCTATTATTTCTCTCTTTCAAGACGGGAGTAGCATGCATCATCATCACTCCCCTCAAATCATGATTAGTGACTGTACCGGTCAGAGTTCTTAAATCTTTTAGAATCTGTCTTTACAGTGTTGTTATTACACATCATGTTAATTACTCTCCTGGTTCTGTTCACTTCTTTCTGTATCAACTAGTTCATACAAATCTCTCCAGCTTTGTCTCAAACTCTCCCTTTTGTTATCTTACTGCACAACAGTCTTTCATGAGAGTTGAGTCAAGTCAATAAACATTTATTACATGCTTACTAGTGCTAAGCTTTCTGCTAAGTGCTAGGGAAATAAAATAAGGCAAAAACAATCCCTGCCCTTAAGGAGTTCATAATCCAATAAGCACAACAACATGCAAATTACTATGTATAAACAACACACACACACACACACACACACACACACACAGAGATATACTGGTGATAATTTTGGAGGAAGGCCCTAGCATTAAAAGGGCCCAAGAGAGGCTGAGATTTTTGTTGAGACTTGAAGGATGCCAAGGAATCCAGGAGGGACAGAATGTTAAACAAAGGAAGGTACACTGCTATGGAAAGATGTAAATCCAAAGCAAAAATTCAGTATTAGGCAATTTCTTTCTTTCCTTTTTTTTTTTTAACCTGCCATGGCACGGAGGTCACTGACAAATCTGCCAGTGATTCCCACAATGAGCTCAGTTTATTGTAAACAAAAATACAGCATGTTTCTTAAATTCCATTTTTCTTTCCACCTTTGATCATAGCCTAGAGATCTATGTCTGAGATGATGTTTTGAAGACCCCTGGTTTTCTTGCATAACAGCAGACAGGGGAACAGGGAAAGACCCTCACAAGAAGCACCTGCATTTTGAAGATAAATTGCCAAAAGGCTACGCTAATGTTATGTATATCACATTATATGTTATATATGTTGGGGGGTAAGGGAGGCTGGAGCCAGGAGATATAATTTAGCCACTGAAGTAGTCCCTTGACGGGGATAAAGACTTCATCTGTAATTTCATTAGTCAATGGAACAACTCTCTGATGAGGAAGCGACCCTCTGCCAATGCAGGCCTGCACTTCCTCTGCCGTTTATAGTCTTAGTGTGCCACCTAGAGCGACGACAGGTTAAGTAATTTGTCCAGGGTCACACAACCAGGATGTGTCAGAGGCAGAATCTGAACCCAGATCTTCCTTGCTTTGAGTCCAGCTATCTATTGACTAGACCATGCTACCTCTTGTAAGGTACTCATGTTAAGGCAAAATGTTAGGGAAAAATATGAAATAACTTAGGTTGGGTAACTATCACCACATCCTTACCAGATGTTCACTGATCTGTCTTTGCTTTGCCTTTACATTGATGAATAAGAACAGTTGCTAAAACTACATAGCCATTTGCCTATTTTAATCTCAGTTCATAAGTATAATCCAGCCAACATTACAAGGGTTTAGAAATAAAATCTCCCGAATCTTGGATGGGGATAAACTTTCCTGGCTATGGATGGCTGAGAGAGAGGCAAGGGAATAGATTTTAAATACTCATTCTGGATTATCTGAATGCTTAACTATCCACAACTCTTCTCCTATCTGTTATAGTACACTAGTGGATGTGCAAGGGGAAAAGCGATCTGGATGTGCGAAGAGGCACTATGGGCTTTTAGCACGTTATACTCAAAGAATAAAACACTGTCCACTTTATGGGGACATCAAAAGAATTGAGAAACTTAGATCAAACTCAATCCCATTCTACTTTCCTGTCTCTACCTTCATCCTAATAGGAAGAGTAAGAAGACTGTTGGGGAAATGAGAAAACTTCTTGAAAGCAGATACTATGTCTTACTTATCATTATATCTTCCACACTGTTTCCTCTATAATGAGTACTCAAAAAATTATTGCTGGATGAATACTGAATAAAGTTCTTGTCAATTCCATTTCTTCACAGTTGTGGTAAAAGGGTTAGTGGAGGAATACATTTAACTAATGGCTAAAATTTGGGATGAATTTTCTTTAAAATTAAAGATTTGTATACTGTTTTTCAACTATATGAATAATAAAAAGTAGATTCTATACAAATACTTTTGATTGAAATAAAAATGCCTGACAAATGTTATTAGCATTCTGGCTTTTTTTAGCATACCACCAAAAAACAGATTAATGGAAGAAAAGCACATAAAAGAAAATGAAATAACATAAGGGAGAATACCACACATGGAAAAGTGACAACTCAGGATATAGCTCATTGAGCTGTGGATTCCAATATTCAGACAAGTTAACTGGAATGAGCATAAGCAAGGTTAAGCAAGAATTTGAGGAACAATGCAAAACACAAAAGCAGTGCTTTAGGAAAGCTGGAATAGACAAAATGGATACTCAGACTGACCTACCTCAGCTTTGCCTATATCCCTCCTATTCATAAATGAATGTGTGCTAAGAAATATACACAGCACACCAAATTTCCAAATGCTCCACAATAATGCTTCCCACTATCCCTTCTTTCTATCAGTAAAAAAGGACTACATGCAAGGAGAGAAGAAGAAAGCAGGGAATGTGTCTGAGCTAAATTTCTTAATGCCTAGAACACCTTTCATCTATGGGTTTTAAAATTCTTAAATCCTTCTCGTGATTCTATGAAGTCAAGCAATAGTTTACTCCTTGAGTATGAATTCATGGTGGCCTAGTGGATAGAGAAGCAGTCCTGGAGTCAGAAAGACTCATCCTCTTGAGTTCAAATCTAGCTTCAAACACTTACTAGGTATGTGACCCTCGGCAAGTCACTTTGCCCTGTTTGCTTCAGCTTCCTCATCTGTAAAGTGAGCTGGAGAAGGAAATGTCAAACCATTCCATTATCGTTGCCAAGGAAACCCCAAATGGGTTCACAGAAAGTAGGACATGACTGAAAATGACTGATCACCACCCATGACTTGATAGCATCGATTTTACTGGTAAGTCAAGACACCAAGCATTTATTAAGCACCTTCTACATGTCAGGCACTGTGCTAAGCTCTAGGGATACAAAGAAAGGCAAAAAACAAGCCCTGCTCTTAAGGAACTCATAGACGGAGACGACATGCAAATAAATATGTACAAATGAGATACATACACAGGATAGATTAGAGATAATCAAGAGAAGGAAGGTTCTAGCATTAAGGGAGATCAAGAAAGACTTCTTGTAAAAGTGGGGTTTTAGTTGGTATTTGAGGGAAACCAGAAGGTGGAGACAAAGACAGAGTAAGTATTCTATGCATACAGGATAGCCAACGAAAGTCCATGGAGCTTGGAGAGAGGAATAGCATGGAGGGCAGAGTCACTGAATCACAGAGTATGTCAGGGTGAGTAAGGTAAGAAGGGGCGCCAGGTTAGGAAGGCTTTAAATGCCAGAGGATTTTATATTTGATCCAGAAGGCAATGATGATGATAATAATAATTATATATACATAATAATAATGAACAATAATAACAATAATGAACAAGCATTTTATGTGGCAAGTATTGTAATAAGCACTTTATAAACATTATTTCATTTGATCAACAATCCTGGGAGGTAGGTGCTATTATTATCCCCACTTCACAGTTGAAAAAAGCAAGTCAAACAAATTAAGGCACTTGCTCTAAATCACACGACCCATAAGTGTCTGAGGTGACATATGAATTCAAGTCTTCCTGATTCCAGACCCAGCACTCCATTCATTGGGCCACCTCACTGCCTCTGGAGTTTACTGAACAAGGAGGGTTAGAGGGGCCAAGTGGGAGGAACATGGTCAGATCCATGATTTAGGAAGATCAATTTTACCACTGAAAGAAAGATGGAATGGAATGAGGAGGGCAGGCAGAACCATCAGAAGGCTACTGCAATCATCCAGGCAGGGTGGTGTTGGTGTTAGAGGAGAGAAGCGGATGTATGCGACAAATCTTGAGAAGGTAAAATCAACAGGCCTTGGCAAAAGACTGGGGGCTCAAGAGAGTAAAGAGTTGAGAAAGACATCTAGGCTGTGAACTTGAGTGAGTGGAAGAAGAAAAGAGGCCTCAGTAAATACAAATTCCTGACTTATAGTTCAGGTCACAAGAAAACATTTCATTGTTCAGTGTGGAAAGGATCATTGTAATGAGTTCGTTTTTTTCCCATATTAGTTTCCCACAAAATAACATTAGAAAGAAA